CTTAGCTTCTTGTTACTACTAGTAAGGCACTTGTTACTAGAAGCGATGCACTTGTTTCTAATGAAGAAAAAGATATGTGCACCTCCGCACTTCCGATCGGTTGGCCAGGCATAGCTCAGTGCGGAGTGCGGCGGGCCATGCGATCGATGCTTGGTGCCAGGCCAGGCTGTGGGACGCTTGGTGCGACACTCACATGGATGAAATCCCTATCGCAGGCGATGACCTTCGTCGTTTTGCAAACACTGTTTTATTCCTAGGTCTTTTTGTGCCTTTGCTTCGCGTGTCTTCTTTCTTCGCAAGAAATTGGGGTGCCTTTGTTGGGTGGGACACCGGTGGTGAGTTCCATCCCCATCCGACCATCGCCATGAACAAGAGTCCTGCCTCCTTTCCCACCGAAAGTTTGTTGGATTGTTTGTTTGGAAAGTTGTAAACAGCCTGTGTTGGGCAACATTGCTGGCTTGGGATGGCTTCGATATTCCTGGCAAAGAACATGATGGCCACCAAGAGCAAGACAAGTAGGTAGCACTCACGCATATCGTCCTGACTACCTTGCGGGGAAAATTTCGCACAGAACAGGACATCACTTGGCATGTCACTACCCGTGCTTAGTTCTTACAAGTTCAAACACATGTTTGCATTTTCTTCTGAAAACCATTCCCTTTATACTCTCCTCCCCTCCGCTGTCTCGGTCGGTCTCCTGGCATCGCGGTCCAGCACCTGGGTGGCGTCTCAGCGTTGCTGGAGCGCTGCGACCTGATGGGAGACGAGGCGTCGTCTCGGTGGCGGAGAGGTGGTTTGGGTTTCCGCGGGTTTCGGGGGCGGCGAACTGGTGGTGCAGAAGATGAAGATGTGTTGAGGAAAGATGGGAAGTGAGGTGACAGGGATGGGGACAGATATCACACCGAAGTTGTTGGAAGTGATTTGGGTGTGAAGTTCTTGGGAGCCCTAAGGAGCAATAAGGAGCCCTAAGGAGCCTTGGAACATGCACCTAGTGGTTTGCAGAAAGGGTGGCTTGAAAGACCACTTCCTTCGGTGAAAAGTCCTATTCACTCTATTCTGTAGAGGTTTCTGTGCGCAGCAGGCCTTGAGCCCAATCCCAAGGACATACTATATAGATATAGGTGATATAGGCTAGGGCTTTTTGTTGTTCCTATTATACTTGGGCAGCCGTAACGTACCCCAGATCCACGATTTGGTATTTCGTGGACAGGCCTGACGTCTTCTCCTTCTGTCAATTCACTAGCTGCTTTAGCTCTCCCATGAGTCGATAACAATTTCTCCAGCAACTCACCTCCCTTATTTTGGAGGCCCTGGGAGAGACGGTGTGCGCTGAGCTGGGCTCACGCTTCCCAGAGGAGGGCCGGGGGAGCCCAGTGGCACTGAAGCTACTAGGAGCAAGGGCATCGCTACTAGGAGCAAGGGCGCTACTAGGGGCTCCTGGCCTTACTACTAGGAGCAAGAAGCTACTAGTAGCTCCTGGCATTACTAGTAACAATCGCTACATCCTGAATCATCCTCTCATCCACTCTCCTCCACCCTCATTCTGACCGGCTTTGGCCTTGCCAATCCCTATTCCTTCGGAAGCCGCTTCTGCAAAGACGACAAAGTAGCCCCCTGCTTGCCCAAGCCCATCCACTCTCTCATCCACTCCCATCCCCCCCATCCCCCTCGACATCCTGCAGGCGCCTGACACGGATTGCTTTCTTGTCATTTGTTTGCCGTAGCCTATGAATTGGATTTATCTGACTTAAATGTTGCCCTGGACCATCCACGATCATCCTTGATCCTTTTCGCATCTTTTTCGCCATGTTACAAGAAACATCGTGATTGCCCATTATCGCCTATTGGTCTCGCTTTTCTCGCTTTTGTTTCGGCTTTGTCTCTCTCTTTTGTTGCCTTTTTTCTTCGAGGTCTCAAAGTGGTGAAGCGCTGGCTCGGCAGCTGCAAGGCTCGGTCCATCCGTCGGTTTCTCCGGCCGCGTTGGTCGCCCCTTCGCCGCGTTGGTCGCCGTCGCCCAAGGCCAAGGAGGCCAAGACGTTGCCGGAGGGGCCGGGGCCCAGTCCTCAAGGGGTCTTTGAGGTCAGAGAATGGGCCTGGTTGGAAGTTGTTGTGAAGTAAGTAGCTATGTTTTGAACTCTATGAAGTTGGACACCCCTTTTTGCTTTTGGGCTCTTACTCAGCTTTTGCTTCTTTGTGGACGAGGCGTCGTTCTCGCTTCTTGTCGTTTGTCGTTTGAGTTTGACTACACCATGTCCGCTAGACTTCTGAAGGTTAAGAATTGTCCACCAGAAATCGGATCAACTGCACAGACTGTACTCTACTCTACTGTACAAAGGCAAGGGGCCAGACCCAACAAAAACGTTTGATGACCTGCTTTTGTTGGGATGACTGTCGCCTCTCTCCAGAGGATCCTCCACTTTTTGCCACACTTTTACACCAGAAAACCACCGGAAGATGATCCAAACACCGTGACGTCGATGGGAGAACCCCATTGACTGAAGGCCTATGCTGTTTGCACGCATGGCTTTGGCCGCACTGCCTGAGTCGGCGAGAGAAGAGGTGAGAGAGGGGGCGACGGCAGATGGAGTCAGTCCACATCTGGCTGTAGAAGGTACCTGGAGGCACTTCAAAAAAGCGAAACCGACTAGCCATGCCTCACAGGTGACAGCACGTCCAAACACTTGATACTGGCTTTAGTAGGCTTCGACTTTGTCAGAAACACCCAGAGGGAATCGAAATCGCTGACAAGTCGAGCTGCACGGAGGTTCTGGATTGTGCGGTGCTTGTGCAGCGCGCACAAGCGGCACTGGAGGCCAGTCACGAGCGACGGAAGCCACTTAAAGACTAGTGTTTTACTTGGGTGGTTTGGGGGAAGTGTCTATTTGGTGTGTTCAGCTACCATTAAAGCAAGCAGTTGATCTTAGATGGGAACTCAGCTTGGAGACTTGCGGCGGCCTCCTCAAGTTGTAGCAACAGATATATGGTCACCGAAACTTATCGTTAGTTATAGGTTGCCGGTATGGCAGTCTTTGAACATAAACTGGAACATTGGACTCAACTGCAGTAAATTGGGTCGGGGCATCAAACAAAGCAGCAAAGAACACTATGTCAACACATTTTGATTCCTCAAGTCCCTACATTGTTTTTGATTCCTCGGCCCAACTCATAGCCAGGCGTGTGAGAAGCAGTCCAGCGCTTGGCAGGACTGGCAGATCTGCATGACTACCATTTGCCGAAGACACGCATCAAGAAAAAGCAAAGTATAGACGTGCTGTTTTGAGGAGGTCTCTCTTCTTGAGTCAGTTGAGTCTTCTCTAACTTAGTCCACACTTAGAGTTGTTCCTCCAAACGTGCCAACTTTTGAGCAGATGTAAAGGCCATGGTGGAAGTTGACAAACACGATGTGGATGATAAAGCTCACACGCACACAACAACTGATGATGTTTTTCATTTGAGTTAGACAGGTTGCCATTTTATGGTCACTCTCGCTTGCCCTGACCCGTTCAAGTGTTCAATTTTTGTATTTTGAAGGCAATACTGGCTGCACAAAGTGTTTTCTATGCAGATCACCAGGACTTTTAGGGTTGATCCAAAGGATGTGTCTCTTCGGGCGCCTCTGCCCTTGTTCTTTGACTTGAGAACCCATGTGCGCCTCATGAATGGCTTTTGTTCTGCTCTTCCAACCGATTCCAACCTCTTCAAATTCTATCTGAGAAGGGGGCTGGCAGGGGCTCAAGGGCTTCCATTCCTGGTGATTCCTTCTTTTGGTCTCTTCTGTCATTTAGTCTACCCCCCTCACCACTTTTCAGCCAGGACTACCTGCTTCGGCCGGAGAACCTAAACCTACTCCGTCTGAGGGGAAAGACTAAAGCAGGATGCTGTCCAAAACGGTTTGAAGCATCGCTTTTTGCTTTGCAGGACTCAATGTTCAGGTGCCCCCTAGGAATCGGAGGAAGCATATTTTTGCATATTCTGCAGGGCGTTGTCGCGTCAGCTTTAAGGACTTGCATCGAAGGGTTTGTTGGCTCCCAAGGCAGCTGCTGCATGTAGTGGCTTTGGCAGACATTGCTGATGAGGTGCATCCCGTGAGACGTAATTGGTTGACCGGCTGATTCTAAATCGTAATTGGTCAATCAGATCGCCACAGGCAATGGATGTTGCTGGATCCATTTTGCCCAACCGTCTAGTGACTGCTCTTTTTCAGGGGCTGCGTCGAGATGTGGAGAAGCTAGCAGAGGCGTGTCATGGGGAAGAGGAGCCATTCCGGGGCTTGGGGAGCCAAATGAGAACTGAATAACACTAACCTTTAATTTTAGCAGTGTCTTGCAATAGGAAGAACTACATGAGACTATACAAGCACAGGAGAAGCTAAAAAGAAGCACAGGAAGGCTAAAGTTGAAATCCTTGCTTGAATTTTACCAGACCTTGTTTACAAGACCCAATGGGGAAGTTGAGGATGTCAGTTCTTGCCCAACGGGGGTTCATGCTGTCACCGCAACCGGTGGTGTGGCCGTCGGGTGAAGCTGCCAGGCCGTACTCTTCCGGGGTCCTTTGTCGAAGATGCCGGTGAAGGAGCTGGGCACCACCGACGGCACCTGCAGGAGTGGGACACACGTCGGCCGGGGGACCGAAGCTGGCAAGCATGATACCATGCAAAAGAATGCTCCGTTCGTAGCGATGCCAGGAGCACCTAGTAGCGTCCTTGCTCCTAGTAGTAAGGCCAGGAGCCCCTAGTAGCGTCTTGTTCCTAATATGTAATATATGATATCATTTAACTTTGTAATGCTTTGTATCTTTTTTTTTGGTATCTTTGCAAGCCCCACTTGGTACGCAACACATGGTATATGCGGTATATGCAGGGTCATACCGACGATCAAACTGACCTTTGCGGATTTTGTTGCTGAGCTGACTTTTGTCAGACACGCACCAGACTCGCCACCAACAGAACGCATTCAGACTCGCCACCCAATGAGATCATTGATGATCAGACCTTGAATTGGTGGCTGAAGTTTTGGATCAAACCCCACATGGCCGTGATGGCTACCGCGGCTGGCCCGATGAGGGCTTGGCGAGCCCGCGGGCGCGGGCTTGGGGCGGAGCGGCGGAGGGGGTGACGGAAGACTCAACACATCAGATTCACTGTGGGTATCCTTTTGGAAGCGAAGTTCGCGAAGCCTTGCATAGGCCCCAGGCGTTTGTTGTTGGTTGGACGGCACTGTCGATCTTTGCGCTGACCTTCAAAACTGCTTGAGTACAAGTACAAGATTGAAGTCATCGATCACATGTCCAATGCGTGTTCAACAGAAAAGATCCCTTTTCTATGTTCCTTTCCGGCTGGCACAGAATCGGACCTGGAGGCCAAGGCTAATGCTGCTGCTGCTGTCAGTGGCCCTGACACTTCAGTGGCGACCACAGCTCGCCAGCACCGGTGGTGAAGAAGGCTTGAGGAAGATGGGCTGCCGTGGGCAGTGAGAATGACCGCTTTTGCATCACATGCTGTGGCCTGCACGACATGTAGATTCTTGGCAAAGCCACCAATCAGGTCTAAAGTACCACCAATCATGCCTCGACTTGAGGAGTGTACTAGTTAGGCACTAGTAGTAACAAGCTACTAGTAACAAGTGCATCGCTACTAGTAACAAGTGCCTTACTAGTAGTAACAAGAAGCTATTAGTTAACTTAACTTAATTTTAATTGAATTCTAATAGCTTCTTGTTACTAGTAGTAAGGCACTTGTTACTAGTAGCGATGCACTTGTTACTAGAAGCGATGCACTTGTTACTAGTAGTAACACTCCTTTAGTAACTTGTCCCGAGATGTGTTTTTCGGAGACTTGAGGAGTGTACTTTGCAACGACAACCACCCCTCCGACCCGGGCAGCGGGCAGGCGGGCAGCCCATGGTGCCGGTCGCCAAGAGTGTCATGGCCAAGGTGAGGGCCTTGCAAGCCCAGGCCAAGGACCGCTTTGGGACTGACCGAGGCTCAGGCGGTTGCTTTTCCGCATAGAGAGACGATCTAGCTGACGTTGCGAAGAGGGAAGCGTCAAAGATAGCAAATCACCAAAACACCCACCGCGAATGAGCTATCCGCTCTCCCTCTCTCTCTCTTTAATGACAAAGAAAGAAGACACCCTGAAGACTTGGTAAAACATCTCAAAGCCAACAATCATCGATCATCAAACACATCCCATTTTGTTTCATCTCAACGAACAACCCCTTGAAACGCCCCGTTGGCTCAACCGCGCCCATGCGTTGGCCGCCGGGGCCCCCCAGGACGGCGGAAGTGTGCCAAACCTGGCGGAGAAGGCTCAGCAGCTGGTTGCTGAGGCCAAGAGCTGCTCTCCAGTGCTGGCACAGGCGGTCTCCGCGGCCTTGGAGCCGCTCTTCCTGCGGCAGCTAAGGGTGCCACGGCTCCGACGATGCGGTGCGGAGGGTAAGTGAGGTGAGGATGGTGAGGATTGTGAGGATTGTGAGGAGGAAAGTCTCAGAGCTCAACTAAAATCACTTCACTCCCTGTCAGATCATAGACCATGCGTGACCGGTGTCGGTTCCTTCAATGTTTCTTCAATTAATAGGGTATCGAAGGAGCCACACATGTGTTCATGATCATGAACTGGGCTTCAAGGCCAATCAATCAGCTCAAATCCACATCCGTAGTCTTTGAGCCATGGCGAAGAACATCTCAGTGCTGCAGCCAAGTGGTGCAAACGTGGTTCTTGAAGTCACGCCAGAGATGACAGGCCGTGCGCTTAAGCAGGAGATCAAGGACCAACAGCCTTGGGACGAGTTCACTCGCAGCACTACAAGTGTTGAGATCATTTTCGGAGACAACCACTTCCTTGCCAATGACGCAAAGGTATTGGACGCGGGAATTGCTGAAGATACTGTGGTGAGTGTTATTTTCAAACCAAACATAGTGACGTGTTCCAGCAAAGATGCTATCGCAAGTCTTGGTGGCATCGTTGGCTCCGGACTGTTGCTTGTTGTTGAAATTCCAAATGATGAAACACAAATTTGCGAAGGCGCTTTTCAGGGGTGCCGCACGTTGGCCAAAGTGACCATCCCGAACTCCGTGACCCACATTGGGGATTCTGCCTTTCAATGCTGCAGCTCTTTGGTTGAGTTGACCATCCCAGACTCGGTGACCGACATTGGAGATCTTGCCTTTGCGGGTTGCAGCTCTTTGGCGGACTGAGACGAACGGTTCTGGGGCTGCCCACAAACTTTCGACCAACAACTCTGGGCTTGCAAACGGAGCAGAACAGGAGGCCAAAAGATGGAAAGTGCGCCATGTGCTTTCAGGTTTTGAGTGCCGTCGCAAGTAGAACAAGCCGATGGGCCGGCCGTTGTCGTAGACCCGAACCACTGGAAAGGCTTTGGCTCGTATCCAGAATTTTTGGGGAAGAGGTCGGGTACGTCATATGGGTCCAAGGATTGTCTTGGTAATTCTGTCTCTGCGGAAGGAAACCACGTTGTTCAGTCTTCGATGTTCGTCAGTGAGACAAGATGCAGGTTTGGCACCTACGGGGGATGTAGAAAGGCCTTTTCTTTAGGGTCTTGCACAAGTGCTCCTGGAAGTGTGGTGAAATGAGTACTCAAGAGCAGGAGCCTGTGAGGTTCCACTTGGTGCAGAATTCGATCCAAAAACAGTTTGATTGCCGAACTGAGAAGGGCAAGCACTCAACGCCTTTCTTTGCAACAACTTTTGATAAGACACCATCTCCTGCATTCCTCAACAACCATTGGTTGCTAGACTGTGTTATTGCATTTCTTTGTTGCTTAGAGCTTCTTTTGGAGCACCCATCTCAGGACCTGAGAAGTCACGCTGCTAGCGAGACACATAGCGATCTTGAAGCAGAGCCTTGGACGATCTCATGGGCGTGACGCTACTAGGAACAAGTGCATCGCTTCTAGTAACAAGTGCCTTACTAGTAGTAACAAGAAGCTATTAGTTAATCTAATGTTAATTTCATTCTAATAGCTTCTTGTTACTAGTAGTAAGGCACTTGTTACTAGTAGCGATGCACTTGTTACTAGAAGCGATGCACTTGTTAATGACACTGATACGGTCCAACGGTCCTAGGGTAGGCCTCACAGGGATCTCCCAGTTTTTGCCGTGGTTTTTCACGGCCAGTTGGATTAGACAAGATGCAGTCGATTCATGAACCTACCAAGTTGGATATTCTTCAAGATGCCTAAACTAGCGGAGGTTTTATCTCTTTGAGCGTCATCAACTGAGGTCCAAGTGCGACCAAAAACTCGGAATGGTCAATCTAGTGAATCTATTGAGGAGTATCAAGGAGTATTGCGGAGTGCAAGGTGTAGGAATAATTGTAGTCCTGCAGACCTATATTGCCAGAGCCTCAATGAACCTGGTTATCCTTGTCCAATCGTATCTAAGGCGGAGAAGACGCAGAGCGAATTCTTGGAGGTGACTGAGATGGAAACCGCAGACATCAGCGGTGGGAGGAAACACATATATTGACACCTACAACTGACTACAGTATCGACACCTAGAACTACAAAGCTCAAAGTTGGCAAGGCCAAAGTTGATGAACTCTCTGCTAAATTGCAAGTTAATGTAACATGTCCACTATTTTCTACCTAAGTTTGCCTCTAGACACCGGCTGGCAGAGAGGATCAACAGCCTGCACACCTTTGCTCCAATCCGCCTTCTCGAGCGAATCTTCACAACCGAATCTTCAACAGGTCCCTCTGAAGAGGCACCCCATGTTGAAAAAAGAACAGGTGCCGTGTCGCAAAAAGGATCAAGCCAGGTGACTTACCGGTGGTTTTCGGGCGTCCCAGGCAGCGCAACAGCTGAAGGGATCGCAAGAGTGGCACATGGAGCCGGAGGCTCAACGGCTCCGTGCACAGCTGGATCAGCAGGTGGGAGACGACGATGGAGACCACTTCACCCGGATCGAAGTTGCACTATAGTTTGATGCTTTCAAAAGTCCAAAGTGGTCTGACTGGCGCAAGAACTTAAGTTGGGTCTTGCTACATAGTTGCCAACTATACATTTGTTACCGACATCCCCTGTACGGATTGTCGATCGCCTTTTGGGGAACTGTATCAACTATCACGACCGTTACTGACGTTCGGGTGGTGTTGATCCTTCGGCTGGTCCTGGTGTCGAAGGTTACTGCGCCAGGTGGACACCGCTGCGGCTTTGGCTGAGGAGCGTGCGCGTGCGGCGCTGGTGCAGCGGTCCACCATCGAGGTCATTGGGCGGCTGCAGGACGAGCCGATGGGATTTTCGAGCACTCGGTGAGGCTCAAGAGCTGGTACACCCCATGGGGCCCCATGGCCGGTCGCTCTCGGTGAAAACATGTTAGAACTGACAAACGTGTTAGAACTGCAACCTCTTTCTGCTTCAAGTTCATCCAGCTCGTTGGGAAGCTTGGAGGAGCAGATGGAAGAGCTTGCGGCCAAGGCGCAGGCCTATCGCGCCCTGGCTGATCAGCTGGGACGGTTCGATGTTTCAGGGAGACCGGTGAGACGACTCGTCGAAGTGACTCTCCTGAGCCACCAATGGGCGATCATCAGCCATCTTTTGAGCCACCAATTGGGCTTATAATTAGTTAGTCTAATCTTGGAGTCTATGTGTATGTCTATGTGCTTAGGATGAACTTATCATCTCACTCCATGACCCGTTTTATCTCGCTGTTGTGAGACTCAGAGAAGATGTTCCGTCTTTTGTTTCAGACAAAGAGCAGAAAAAAACGAACCGCTCACCCCGGGTGCAGCTCAGGCGATGGCAGCAGCCCATTTGTGTTGTCGACCTCCTACCGAATCCCCAAGACGCCCTTGCAGTTTGTGAGTCGCTATGAGCAGGGCAGGGCCAACATCATGCTCACACTCACGCCCGACAAGGTGGATGGGATAACTTTTTTCAACTTCGTTCTTCTTGCTTTTCCCTTTCTTTCATGGTTTTTCCTTTCTGGTTCTTCATGGTTCTTCTTGTTTCTTTTCTTCTGCATATAATTGCAGTATATTGATTGTTTCTTTAGACCCTTTCGTTTTTTGTTGTTTTTCCTGTCTTTGTTCCTTCTCTTTCAAAGCAGGTGTTCAATTCAGCCTTTGCACCAACCACAAACTATAATTAGAACTATATATATATATGTTCACCCATATCAGCAATCCAATCTTTCCTTTCTCTTTTAAAGAAGCTACTAGGAGCAAAGGGCATCGCTACTAGGAGCGATCGGACGCTACGAACGGGGCTCCTGGCCTTACTACTAGGAGCAAGAAGCTACTAGCAACAAGAAGCTATTAGGAACAGGTGCATCGCTTCTAGTAACAAGTGCCTTGCTACTAGTAACAAGAAGCTACTAGCAAGGACGCTATTGGTGAAAACTCTTTTCCATCCAGAAACCACCGGAGCCACCGTCTCCTGGGTCTCCCGATGTGACAGGACCCCACCAAGTCCGACGGCGGCTTCGCCTCCGCGGTGGGCCCGGCGAACATCGGGATCTCCTTCGATGTGATGTGACGCGATCCGGTGAAAAGCACGAGGTCTCCATGTCTGGTCTAAGTCTAAGTCTAAGCAATATATGATACAATATATGTCCATATGATGCTTGGAAAACAAACAATAAGCAGTCGGTGCTCACGACATATGATGATGTTCTTCTTTGTTGCTGATTTTGGAGTGATGATACTTCGATTTCAAGATGCTTCTGCTTGAAGTATAGGGTCGTATCTGGAAGATGGCGGTGGGTCAAGAACTGAATGCCTCACACTGAGCTGTTCATTTTGCGCCAAGAAGGTGAGGTTTGCAACTCACAAGCAGAGCCCTAGGGCTGTTGGGCTGCATCCCACTTCTTCATCTTCATGTGAGCGGATTCAGTGTGCTCGTAGCGGTTGTTGATCTGCGAGACCGTTTCACCGAGCATGTCCGCGATGGGATGGGATGCAGAAAACAGGCGGCTGGTGACAGATACCACATGATCCCACAGGTGGGTCTGGCTCCTTGGCTCAAATTGTCTAGGTCTAGGTTCAGTCAGTATCAGCTGTTAGAACAAAGCTGCTGCGTTCTTTCGATCTTTCAATTTTGATTCCTTCTGGGACCGACTTCTGTGACCTCGGTGCCAAATTGAGTTGGTCACAGCTTTGAGTTGTTACTAGTAGCGATGCCAGGAGCCTCTAGCAGCGTCCTTGCTCCTAGTAGCGATGCCCTTTGCTCCTAGTAGCTTCTGTTTGCAGGATGGCGCAGAGTGCAATTGATTTGGGAATTGTGATTCTGCGCAAGGCCAGTGCCTGGCGACAACTAATCACTTCAAGGGAATAGACAAAAACTTGAGACTCCTGCTTCGTTTTTACTGATGCGGGGGAGTTGACCATCTATATATGGTGTTTCAAGACAGATCCTCCCTGAAGAATCAATCGAAACGCTTTGCGGGAAAGAGCATGAACGACTTTCTCTGCGGGGTGAGTGAGCCTCCTTCATTCTCCCCTTTTTTT